AAATAACCTAATAACAGGAGAAAACCAACGTATGGATATTTTTAACTTGCAAAGGAAAAGCCAATATTTTGACTCTAGATGAGAAATCTGGAAAATGCTGAAAGTTTAAGGGAGCTGAATGAGCTATTACAAAGAGAAAGAAATTGCAGAAAGGTGACTGTTTCTTTCAACATATTTTTAGGAAGCTATAATAGTATAAGGAATGAGCAGAAAGGGGTTCATCAGTAGCCACCTCCCAGGGTGTTGTACTTTACCAAAAAAACCCCCAAAAACCTCTAATGAAAGCAGACACTAAACAAATATGCTGAAACATGGCAGATTTTGCCTTTGGAACACAGGGAGCACTATCTCACGATGAAAACTTAATAGAGATCAAAGAAGGTAAGGCTCCTTTGAACTCTTTTTATAGTTTTTAAATGAAAATACCACTTTCCCTATAAATTCTATTGAACTTTTCCTATAGCTCCAGTGAGCAGTTTATTTTGGCTGTAGCACAGATCCTTTTTTTGTCTAGGACTTTATTCGGAAACTTTCTTTAGAGTGTTAAAGTATTCTCAAAAACATTTCAGATTTACCTAAGTAAATGAAACCAGAACTACAGTGGCAACTGTAGTGATTCAGAGACTGTTACAGTAGAATGAAGCAGTATCCCAATCTAAGGCAGGATTCTGGAATAAATTGACAGGTAATAGAGCTATTAACATTTGAATAGGAGGATGGATGGAGTATTATCAATGTCACTTAGGACAAGAAAAGATGTATTGCTCAATTAACTCTCCAAATGAACTGACACAGCGGGATTTGGAACTCAAAGCTCAGTATCGGCATCAAATGGGTGAGGAGATGGTATTGCTTCATCCTTTGCATGGTCTCCCAGTGTTAACATCTCTTCTGCTCTTCTCCAGCTGTAGAAAAGAATCAATTTCAGTCTCATAGCCAGGGAAGGCAAAAGAACTTCTTTTCCTGAGCACCCGCAGAGAGATCAGATTTCAGCCAGCTTTCCTGCTGTCCATCGGCATCAAGAAACCTCCGGGCTGCACTGAGGTTAGCACTAACCCCAGATGTCTCCCAGTCACACGTGCCAGGACCCTCACTCCTTGGGGACAGTCACACAAGGCAGAGGGAACTGACCTGAACCTTTTCTCACCTTCCCTGTGGTGTGTATTTTCCATGAGTTTGCTTTTGCCCGTGCCCAGTTCAACACAGAGTGACTGAGCTGACCTTTGGGACTATCTAGGTCCTATATACAATAAGGCATCACGCTTTGTATTGCTCCCTGGCTGATCTTCCCTCTAGTGATAAAGGGAGCCAGTGCACCTAATATAGGCTCTTTAATATCCTAAAATGCCACCTTCAGTATTCTTCTGGATAAAGATTCCTAAATTCCAGGTAAATCTCCACTTCAGCAGAATTTAGGCAGCCTAGTATTTTAAAGTCTTATTTTTAAATTTTTTGCCGTTTTACCTCTTGGCAATGAGTGTCCAGATAGAGATCCACAAAACACTGTGGCATTCCATAACAGAGGGTTTTGGTAACCTGGTGGAGATTGCTTACCTTTAACTAAAGAATTTTCTGCTATTTCCTTTGACATCATTTGGGTTTTGGTACAAGCACACAATCCAGCACAATGTAAGCATAGAAATTACCTTTTAAACCAACAAGGGTATAAGCTAACGAATTTTACCTCATGAAAGGACAAAGTGTTGTGGCATATGCCAGAGGTAGTCATGACATTAATTTCAATGTGTCCTTTGCTCATTATCAGTTGTTGACTAAATCCAGCTTCTGAGTTTCTATATAACAAGAATCTGGAGCTGGAGTTCCCCATATGCTACTTCTCTTCTACTTATTAACCTTTCTTCACACACTCAAGTTTGAATATGATGATCTTGTAGCTTTCTGCAAGGTATAGTTCAGATGGAATTATTGCCACTTCAGAAACATGGAAAATGGGGAGGAGAATTTGTAATATGTTGTTAAAGTCATATATAACACTCAAAATCCAGAGATGCACCCCTTGTCCCAATGCTACTGATACCATAAAAGTATTTTCAGTAACCTTTTCTTAACGTTCTCAAGGTTCTCAATATCTTTTTTCAAAATGCAGATACCAAAACTGGACAGCTTTCAACATTTGTCTCACTCGTGTTTCGAGCAGAGCAAAAATCTACTATTTCCTACTTATTGCTCCTCTGAAACATCCAGGGATAGCTGTATCCTCTTTAGGCCCCCTTTCCCTAGGAATATAGGACAATTATTTCCTACTCTCACCCCCACACCCTTCCCTGTGTGCAGAGTAAACCACACCCTGCTCCAGAGTGGCTGGCACTTTGTCACCTGGAAATGTGTTTTTACATTAAGCCCTATTAAAGCACAGTCTGTTTCAACTAAGTTCATCTTATCTGGTCCCTAATAGGTTACAGTGTAATGAGAATGTCATGTATCACTGAACAGCACACTTGTCAAAAACCTGTTATGGATGTGGCTGTGTAACTTTACTAACCACACTGATAACTTCCTCATAAAAACATGAATCATATCTGCTTGGCAGGCCACTTCCCATAAAAACACTTTGTCCATACATTGGGGTTTTTTTTCTTTCTGGTTTTTCTTCAAGTTGGTCAATGTCAGCCTAATCAGCCTGTAACTAACTGGTCACCATAACTGGGTTTTTTGGACCTTACCAGGAAACTGAATACTAAATCTTTCAAGATTTTCCTGTTATGCCAAGATTTACTTGAAGCAGTGCCAGAAAGACACTGACAAAGAAAGTGAAAGATACGAAGCACTCGCTCAGTGCTCCTGTCCATTCTTTGGGTATTTTATTGGTACATTTTTCTGGCCATTTTTCTGGCTCTGCTGTTTTTCATATGTTCTTAGGAGATGATGCTTCTCTTTTAAGTCCATAATCTAGCAAACATGTCCTCCCTTTCTTTCCAAATACAATCCTGGAGTATTTATTAATAATATATATCTTTTTTAGCCTCCTCTTCTAATAATACTCCTTACACTTGTGATTATACAAATACTTTATTGCCCATAGCCCTTCCAGGCATGGATTTTCCCCTTACAGTTTTGCTTCCCTGACGAAATCTCAACACTCCCTAATTAATGTTGATTGCCACCTACTTTTACATTTCAATGTTAGTTCTACATGGCAATTTTTTCTTCTCATTTACTGACTTTGCTTTTTCAATAATGGACTTTAAGCAAGAGGAAAACTTTCCTTGAATGGTAGACTTCTTGGTAAATCACCATATTTCCCTGCAAATTTCTATTTTTCTCCCAAATGCACTTTCTTTTCAGCTTTAGGGAATTAACTTTTTCGAAGCAGACTGTGTGTGTGTAAAACACGGTTAAGGCTTGTTTGCTTGGATCATGGGCAGCTACGAACATAACCTGGAAAGAGGTAAATATTGACACGACTCAGGCACTCACTGAATGGAAGTGAATGGTATTTTCAGCAATAGGTTTTATTAACAGGGGCTACAATAAGCACTACCCATAAATCTTGTAAGACATTATTTTGTTACTCAACAGAGAGACAGGAAAGAGGAATTCTGGCCATCATTTGCACTAGTATAGACAGACACAGAGTCCACCTGTGTTTTGATCCTTTTGAAATGTGTCAGTCACGGCCAAAATTCTTTTGGGGTGTTTCATACCCTAAAAATCCCCAGGTCTGGGCTTTCACCGAACCAAAATTAAACACATCGTTTAACTGCCTCCAGAGAGCAGCTCCATCATCCTTTGAGGCTTTCTGCGCTCCTGCCAGTCACACCCGATTTCAGTAAACGCGCCTGTCCTTCCCATTCCGGAAAGTACAGCCGGAAACATATTCGGGGTGTCTTTTTAAACCTCTGTACGAGGAACATCCCTCTGAGCTGTTTCACTCTAACACTGACACTCGCAGCAGTCAGGAAAAGTGGGAAAACCAGAGCAGAGCTGCAGTTGAAGCGGGCGCTCGGAGGTGCCGGGCAGCGCTCCCGGGAGATGCCCGGATCCCGGCACGGATCCCTGGGACCAGCCCCCGCTCCCGCAATGCCGCCAGGTGGCACCGCCGCGCCGCCGGCGCTTCCCGGGAGCCCCCTGTGCCAGGGGGAGCCCCCTTTGCCATGAGCCCCTCTCCGCCGGGAACCTCCTCTGCCAGGAGGAACCCCATTTTCCAGGAGCCCCTCTCCGGCAAGAACCCCCTTTGCCAGGAGCCTCTCTGCAAGGAGCCCTTCTCCCGGCGCTTCCCCCTCCGCAGGGAACCCCTCTGCCGGGAGCCCTCCTTTGCCAGGAGAAACTCCCCTATGCCACCAGCCCCTCTCCGGCAGGAAGCCCCTCTGCCAGAAGCCTCCTCTGCCGGCGCTTCACCCTTCGTAGGGAGCCCCTCTGCCAAGAACCCCCCTCTGCCAGGAGCCCTCCTTTGCCAGGAGGAACCCCCTCCGCCAGGAACTTCTCTGCCAGGAGAAACCCCCCTATGCCAGGAGCCCCTCTCCGGCAGGAACCCGCTCTGCCAGAAGCTCTCTGCCGGCGCTTCACCCTCCGCAGGGAGCCCCTCTGCCATGAAACCCCCCTCTGCCGGGATCCCCTCTGCCAGGAGCCCCCTCCACCGGGAGCCCCCCGTGTGTTTCCGTGGGGCCGGGCCGGGCCCGAGCCCGCAGCGGGCTCCGCGCCGCCGTGTGCGCGTCCGGAGCTCCCCCCGCGCCGCGCCGCCCCCTCCGCGCTGCCAGCAGCGGGGGAGGCAGCTGCGCGGGCAGGGCGAGCGAGGGGAGGAGGGAGAGGGGAAGGCGGAGACGGGGCCAGCCCGAGGAAATCAAACGGCCCCGACATGAATTAGGCAGCGGCTGCGGAGGGGAGGGCCCCCCTCCCCCGCTCGTTCTCTCTCGCTGGTCCCCGCACGGCGCCGGCGGGAGCAGCGCCGCCCCGCTCGGAGCGCGGCTCGGGGCGCGCACGCACACACGGACCGGCGGCGGCCGGGCGGGAGGGAGGGCGGGGGGGGCCGGCAGATGAAGATGGCAATGTCTGTGATCCAAGCGTGCCGCAGCCTGGCGCTCTCAACATGGCTGCTGTCCTTTTGTTTCGTGCATCTGCTGTGCCTGGACTTCACCGTGGCCGAGAAGGAGGAGTGGTACACGGCCTTCGTCAACATCACCTACGCCGACCCGGCGGCCGGCAGCGCCGAGCTCCGCAGCGAGAAGAGCGAGTGCGGGCGCTACGGCGAGCAGTCGCCCAAGCAGGACGCCCGCGGGCTGGTGGCCCTCTCCACCTTGCCCACCGAGCGCGACGCCTGCGACCCCGGCACCCGCTTCAACACCCCGGCGCCGGGCAAGAGCTGGGTGGCCCTGATCCCGCGGGGAAACTGCACCTACAAGGACAAGATCCGCCACGCCGCCGCCCAGAACGCCTCCGCCGTCGTCATCTATAACATGGGCTCCAGCAACGCCAACGAGACCATCACCATGCCCCACGCAGGTGAGGGAGCCGCGCCACCCCCGGGCTGCGCTCAGGGACATGGATCCCCTTCTCCAGCCCGCTCCGCCGTCCCGCATCCTTGGGCTGGGAGCTACTGCGGGGAGGTGTCCTCGCACCTTCGAACAGGGAGCGGGATGGGCTGCGGGCGTCGCTGGGTGCTGGGTGCCCGTCGTGGGGGCCCTGGAGCTCCTCTCCGTGCTGCCATGGCAAAGGATGGATGTGCTGCTAGCATATCCATAGCAATGCACGCCGGGGCTCCAGGGATGAAAAGTTTGGGACGTGTAAAGTTTGGGTCTAGTCAGAGGAATGGGACACCGATGTTTCGTTGTGTCCTAAGAGTCCTCTGGCAGGTGCCGTGGAGGACCGAGTGTAGCTGAGAGCTTCGGAAGGGGAGAACACTACAATTGTAGTGTTGTGGTGCAGGCTTATCAGGAGGTGCAATAAAGTAGAGAACACGGTGTCCACAGTCTTGGCTGCGATAGTGTAAAAGCTGCCAGATTGAGTCGGAATGTCGAGTATCTGATTTGGAGAGAACATGAGATATGTTGTCCAGGACTGCGATGGGGGGAGTGTTTCACTCGCCCAGGTGAATGTTCTGGTGGAGTTTGTGCTTGCAGTGTCAGCACATGGGTGGTCGGGTCCCAACGTGTGCTTGTCTGTTAACTAGAACCCAGTCAGAAATCCAGTCATTCAAAATAACTTAAACCCTGGCTTATGCCCACAAAAAGCCCCCCTCACTGTTTCTGTACCAGTGCTTGATCTGAAATAATGTCTTATAAACAGTTCACCAGATTTATGTTTAGGGACAATATTTTATGCCAGGGGTCATTTGTCTTTTATACCAGCTGCCTGTGCCATGGAGATAAAATGCCACCTATTGTGAAATCTCTGTTTGGTTTCCATCCAGTAACTAATCATGCCCAGCTGTTTCATGCCAGCTGAATCTTAGTAGAGTTGGGGTAAATTGAAACACAGAAATGCTGCAAAACAGGATGTTATTCTAATGACACGTTAAATTTCCATAGACAACTATCTAGCTTGGATGTGCTGAGAAGTAATTTGTTGCCTAACCATAGTGCTAAAATACTGCTGCTGCAAAAGCAGGGATTTTGGAACCTCTTGTGTCCAGCCTGCTTCAGAGATTACCCATTTGTACTGGGCAAATGTTTCTTGGGTAGGGTTGATGGCAGATGGGGGTTTTTCTGGTGTTTTCCTCTGGTTTTGTGAGACAAGCAACTCGTAACCTCTTGAGCTTCCTAAAACTATGTTTTATAACCTGCCCATGGTTTAGCAGCTGTTCAGATTATACTTCTTGCTACTTTAAGTACTTTAAGATTATATACTAAGAAGTATAAAGCAGTAGGAGCTTGGCATACTTACTTACCCTCAAAGTAAAGCTCAGACTCTTTTTAAAACTTAAGATGCAGCATGGTTTGTTCTTCTCTACTAAGAGTTTCTCTAAAACTGCCAACATGTTGGATTAATTAATGGTTTGCCTGTTTTTAAAGTACGCACTAAGCTGTTTTCCCGCACAAATGATGTTTAATTAAGAAACGGTGGGAGTAAAAAATGTGTCTAACCTTTAAAAATGTTAGAGCTTTGGTTTGTTTTCATGTCTAAGATGAGGTGGGGAAGGAAACTTTCTTACTGAAAGTGGCCTCAGATTTTAAAAATATGAACATAGTATCCATTATCCTGGGAACAGTTTCTCTTATGTCATATGATTCCATAGGATTTGTTCTGAGAATCCTTTCTGAGTGCTGAGTTGGTACCCAGCAGTGGGTTTGTACAGCATCAGAGGCTGAAATGAAAGGAAACTTTCAGAAATTAATGTGGACTCGTGGAACATGATCAGTGAAACTGAAGGACTTTGCTCATTGATTTGATGAGGTTGTCTTCATTCCAAGGATTTTTGTTCAGGGAAGTTGAGTAATGGCTGTTGGGCTTACCTTAGAGAAAACCTATCCTCTGCACATGGTCAAAACTGAGAGGAGTTTTAGAGCACAAGTCTGATGGAACAGAAGAAAAAAAAAATTATGCTTAGATATTTGGCAATCCAGCAGGGATTCAGAACTTGACTCTCCCTCTGGTACCACTGTTACTCTGGGACAAAGTGAATGGTCAGGCTGCGTAAAATTGTTAAAAACTTGCAGCCTTTGATATTTGTTTGTTCCCAGTCTAAATGATAGCACAAAATTCAAGGGAAAAATGAATCAGTTTCTTGGTTTCTGAGTTCAGCAGCATCTGCAGTGCTCTGCCCACGCGAAATCCTGGAGTGGGAAGAAGAAAATTCCATCCTGGAAAATACTTGGAGGTTGAGAGGGAAGGGTGAAATATGACCTAAAAAGCAATTTAGAAGTCAAAAGAAATATGCTGTTACTCCCTTTTTATTTTCTGTTTTCCTCTCAGATTTTTTTGAGGTTTCATAGAAGCTTAAACAAACTCTTCCCATACAGAAAAATGTATCCTGTTGCATAACCGTGTGGCTTCTGCCCTTACTAAATAACTTTTACTCCTAAGAGTAACACTACTCCTAAGAGGTTTTTTCCCTTACATACATTATTCTCTTCTGTATGTTTTGCCTTCTTTCTCTTATTGTCACTTAACCTCTTTGTGCTTCTTTTTCTGCTCCTCTCACTCGTTTCTTCATCTCTACCCCTGTGCTTCATTCCCTGCCTTAACCACGCTACTTTGCCATTTCATAGTGTTTTGCCCTTGCCACTTTCTTTCCAAGGCACTCTTTCTCTTGCCAAAGAACTTACCTCATGGCTCTATGTTTAATTATATTTCCTGTTTTCTGCTACAGTGCATGCCAGTGACCCTTTGCTCATGTGGTGCCTCCTGATTTTGAAATCTGCATGCAACTGTAGCAAGATAGTGTGTGTGAAGTTAAAAGAGGGTTCATAGACCTCCCTCCCACCACCCCCAAATCAAAACCAGGGTAGTATTATATCAAAGTTTTTGTGGAAGTCTTCAAATATGACTCTCCAGGATTTATTTTTAGAGCATACAGCACGAAATGTGCAATCTGAACCAGTTCCATCACCCCATGGAAAGCCTCTGCTTTCAGGGAGCTCGTGCTGAGGTCACTGCTTGCACACCCAGAAGGATGAGGTGGAGTTATGACATCTGCATTCACAGGGAATGTGGAGCTCTGGGATTCTCCTGCTAGGATGTCCCTAGCTGGTA